CTTCCACGAGCCGAACAGCCGAGCGTGACGTCACGCACACGGACGGCGGTTCTCGCTGTGTGCGTGCCCCCACCACCTCGGTGCTCTTGGTGCTAGCCTGCCAAAACTTTCATCACTGCCCTCAGAGTGAGTAAAAGCTTGCTTAATGCACTAGCCACCCGCATCGCCTTTTCCGCCATCCTGCGGAAATGCTCAATAAATGACCAGCGCTCGTCAACCACTAGCCCAAGGTATACCATTGAAGTCTTTGATAGAATCTGAGACGCACCAACCCGCACTTTCACGGGGTCTTCTCGTCGTCCACGCGGCGTAAAGATGACGATCTCCGTTATGGACAGAGCCAAAGCCAGCCCCAGGTCAGCCATTCTTATTTCTGCGGCTGCCACTGCACTAGAAATCCGGTGTTTGGCTTCCTAGTCCGTTGCTCCTCTAGCCAACACGAGGGTGTCGTCCGCGTAGCACACCAAAGTGCACCCCAGCGGCAAACCCTCCGCGCAGCACAGACACAAACGTCATGTTTCATAACACAGGGCCCAAAACTGAGCCCTGCGAAACCCCACACGTCACCCTATGCGACCTGATCTTTCCACCCGCAACAGGAAACATCACACTTCTGTCAGTGAGGTACATATCCAACGTTGCACGCAAATAGACAGGATGGCCCCACTATTTGGCAGCCGATCGAATACCTTGCCACGCAAGAGTGGTGAACGCATTGCGAACGTCCAAACCGACCGCAATGCAGACCCCACCTCCTCACGTGACTTCCTCCACCGTTGTTCTCACTTGTGCAACAGCATTGTACGTGAATAAGCCCTGGCGGAACCCATAGTGGCTTGGTAACAATCCTCCCCTACGACTCAGGCACTCCTATACACAACCCGCCAAGATCCTTTTATAGAGTTTACCCTACTCACTTAGGAGACACAAAGGTCTATACGCCGGCGGGGCACCATGTTGCCCCGACTTGAGAACCAGCACCAATCGTGCTCTCTTCTACATTCTTGGAAAGCCTCCCTGCCTAAGGCAGGTGTTGAGGCACCTAAGAACCCTACCCGGGGTTATCGCCACCGTTTTGGCCCAAACGACGCAAAACAATCCGTCAGCGCCAGGCGCTGTCCGACGTCCGGCCATTTTCTTTGTGGCTGACTTTAGCTCCCCCATCGTTATTTCATCTTCCGGGCGCCAAGGAATACCACCCTGGATCGCTGGCCGTCCCGTATGCCGAGCCGGAAATAGGTTCTTTACCACCAACTTGGCCTCCTGGGCACTCATAATTTCTGTGGCAGCAGGTCCTGACCCACGCAGTTTGGACAAAACCATTCTGTAAGGCGTACTTCACGGGTCCCTGTCCAATGTGGATACCAAGTTTAGTCATGCGGCCTTCTTGGCGTCCAATATCGCCTGCCTCAGGGTTCGCTGCGCGTTCCTAAGAGAGATCCTTAAGGCCTCTATAGCCTCCTGACTCACGCGCCGTCGCTGTCGAGAGCGTGTGTAGCCGCCAAATTATAAACGCAGCAGCTGCTAAATATTTTCTGTGATATCCAATAATTTTTTCTGTACCTAATAATATTCTTGTGTAATTGCCAGTAATATTTATATGTAATCGGCAATAGTTCTTTTTAGTAAGGGTAATTCTAAAGTATTTAATTCATATGAATATAATGTATTAATTAATTGAATTTCGTATAATATGAATTAAATATTTTGAGATTATATGTCTGAAAAATGTAGATTCTTGTTATAATTTACACAACAAAAATATATAAAAAAAAGAACACTAATAACTTCCAATATTCAAAAAACTTTTGAATTCTTTCAGTTAACCCATATGTAATAATTCCTAAAAAAATATAATGCATCTTGAAATGTTTTACTATTATCTATAATATTACAAACTTTTTCCAAGACTGGAAATGTCGGAAAAAAATTAATATTAATATATAAATATTAATATATAAATATTGTACGTCTTTTAAATAAAAATTGTGTGTAAAGATTGATTTTGTTTAGACATAAGTAAAATAAAAACATTGAAGTTTAATGTTCTATGATATTTAATATAGGCTTTCAATTTCTTTCTTTACAAATTGT